GAGAGGCAAAGCTGAAGGGCAGAACTCTGAAAGCATCTGACCTTCTTCTTACAATTGCTGAAATAAAATGAAGAACCAGGTTTATTCAGACAAACTCAAAAATGACCACTTAAGAGTTTTTCTTGATTGGTTGAGCAAAAGTGCTCTCCATATTTGAGCCTCCAGAGTTCAACGAAAAGTGTAGCCTCTTTGAGAGGTAAGTGAAAGACTTTTCAGTTAAATGACAGTTTGAGAAATAGATTTATCTTTTTTTTTTTAAGAGCTGAGCAGATTGAAAAAAAATCCCATTTTTCTGCAACGTTCATCGTACTGCTTAAACAGATTAATCCACATTTCTATGAAAAGTTTAATGTATAGCTTTGTCAGAAGTAAATGCAAATGAAGTTACTCTAAAACTGAACTCTAAAGCTACACAGAAGGGATTCCTTCAGTGTGGTGCGCGCACCCCCAGGGTGCTAACGCTAGGGGGTGCGCAAGGGGGTGCGCGAGGTGAAAAGTGTAATGGCTGCAGAGCTCAGAGAAGTCTGTCATATGTCACCATTAGCGCAGCCAGAAACTCATTTGTGGGTGGGCCTGAGAAAAAGTAATTGGGCCCAATAAATGCAACTGAAAACAAGTACAGTATATTTTGTGTGTGTGTGTGTGTGTGTGTGTGTGTGTGTGTGTGTGTGTGTGTGTGTGTGTGTGTGTGTGTGTGTGTGTGTGTGTGTCCTCCGCTTGTGCCCTAGCGTCATAATAATAATGCGCTCCGAGCTTCAGCGCTCTGACCTGTGAACACTGTTAATAGCAAGATATGTTCCGTATTTGATCATTTTTATCGGTGTTGGAGGAATCTGAAGGTGGTGAGTTATTCTGGCAGATTGTAATTAACACCTGTCTCATGCAGGTGTTCTGACGTTGTAAACCTCACACACAGAACATTGTGGATGTAACAAAATAAATCAAGAAATGATTCCCATCTGAGCATTTTAGCATTATTATATTATTATATTAGCACACTGACTGTGGGACAGCATTCTAAACGTGTCGGGCTATTAACAGCGCGCTGAAGATCTGAAGTTCAGAGTGCGTCTGTCAGAGGTCAGACGCGTTCCAGCGGAGCCACGGCTCACGGGTGCACATGTGAGCACATCTGGGCCGGGCAGAAGTCATTTTACAACATTGGTTTAAATAGCGCCAATAACGAGATGCAGTGACTGGAGCGGCTCATGGAGCTGTGCAGCACACACACACACACACACACACACACACACACACACACACACACACACACACACACACACACACACACACACACACACACACACACGCACACACACACACACTCACACACACACTGATTCAACAAGCGTACGCTGTGCTGTGCCGTCAGAATGAAGGCAGAAATGAGCGCTGCCGCTTCCGTGATAAAAAAAAAACTTCTAAGAGGTTTTATAACAACATTTTTCATTCAATATCATATGGGGCAGCAGTAGCTCAACAGGTAGAGCGGGTTGTCCAGTAATCGGAAGGTTGCAGGTTCGATCCCGGCTCCGGACAGAGAATTCTGCTGTTGTGTCCTTGGACAAGACACTTAACCCACGTTGCCTGCTGGTGGTGGTCGGAAGCCTCCCCTCTGTCAGTGCGCCCCAGGGCAGCTGTGGCTACATCGTAGCTCATTACTATCAGTGTGTGAATGTGTGTGTGAATGGATGAATGATACACTGTAGTGTAAAGCGCTTTGGAGTCCTTACTCTGAGAGGCGCTATACAAGTGCGGGTCATTTATCATTATCGTATTAAGATATTAGCCTCTATTTTGGGATGACGTATTAAAGTCGAGTCCGCTCCAGCCAGTGACTCCTCATGAACCTGACCAAAACTCATTCAATTTAAATTCAAATTCAAAAATACTTTATTAATCCCAGAGGGAAATTGATTGCTGTAGTAGCTCAGAATAATAATAATAATCAAGTCATCAAAGAGTTGTTGTATATTACAACGGCTGTTGGCAGGAAGGACCTCCAGTAGCGGTCAGTGTTGCAGCCAAACTGAAGAAGCCTCTGACTGAAGACACTCTTCCGTTGTCGGACAGTCTTGTGAAGAGAATGCTCAGGGTTGTCCATCATTTTCTTGATTCTCTGGAGAATCCTTCTCTGCATTATCTCCTCTAGTGGTTCCACAGTCGTCACCAGAACAGAACCAGCCTTTTTCATTAGGCTGTTGAGCCTTTTCAGGTCCCTGCTTCTGATGCTACTACCCCAACAGACGATGGCTGAAGAGATTACACTCTCAACAACAGACTTGTAGAAGATCTGCAGCATCTTGCTACAGACATTGAAGGACCTAAGCGTCCTCAAGAAGTGCAGTCTGCTGTGTCTCTTCTTGTAAACGGCTTCGCTGTTCTTTCTCCAATCCAGTCTGTTGTCCAGGTGAACTCCAAGGTATTTGTATTCCTCAACCACCTCCACTTCTTCTCCCATGATGGAAACAGTGTTTGACTCCACCCTGTTTCTTCTGAAGTCTAAAATCATCTCCTTTGTTTTGTTCATGTTCAAGGTCAGATGATTGTTTCCACACCATGCCACAAAGCGCTCCACCAGCTCTCTGTACTCAGCTTCCTGTCCATCTCTGATACACCCGACAACTGCAGAGTCATCTGAGTATTTCTGTAGATGACAGGTCTCTGATTTGTACTGGAAGTCTGAGGTGTACAGGGTGAAAAGGAATGGTGAGAGTACAGTCCCCTGTGGTGCTCCAATGTTACTGATCGCCTGGTTTGCTGTGCAGTTCTTCAGCCTCACAAGCTGTGGTCTGTTTGTCAGGTAGTCTTTAATCCAGGCGATAGTTGAGGCCCCCACCTGTGTCTTCTGGAGTTTCTGGCAAAGCACATCAGGCTGGATTGTGTTAAATGCACTGGAGAAATCAAAGAAAAGGACCCTCACAGTGCTGCCTGCTTTGTCCAGATGACAGTGTTACTGCAGCATTTGTTATTCCAGTCCACGTGGCAGCGGATCGTAGATTCAGCCACACCATAAAACAGCAATAAGTTGGTCTGAGGCAAAACTGAACCTCATGGCTATAGCTTTTCCATCTTTTCCCCTATAGACATTTGATTACGCAAGTAGGTGGCCGGTTCAGGTTTACGCAGATCAGAAGGAAGGAGAGAGCTCTGGTTAAACGTTCCTGCTTTAAGAAAACCATTAAATTGCATTGTTTATGTGCTACCTGGGCACTCTAAATATTGATTTAAAATAAATCAAAGGAAATTGTAATGGTATTGAATGTTTATTAATTACTATTTCAAAAGTACATAATACATAAACATAAAAATGAAAGTGATGGGGAAAAAGGTCGATCATATTTTTTAACCCTGTCTGTCGAGTGACTGTTTGGCGTGACGTCTCTCTCTCTCTCTCTCTCTCTCTCTCTCTCTCTCTCTCTCTCTCTCTCTCTGTATATATATATATATATATATATATATATATATATATATATATATATATATATATATATGTATATGTATATATAGCCATGCCCTGATGTGGGGCTGGGGGTGCGTCGACAGGGTCGGGACATAGAAGGGGGTGCACGGCTAAATAAGTTTGGGAACCACTGTTGTAGATTAAAGGTGACGTTCATGTTAATGAAAAATTCTGATGTAACAAACGCTGTAACATTCCATATACGTCCCATGCACTCTCACATTATATTCCAATTGAAAAGTTGTGATACAAATGTAGCAATGAAGCCACTGCTTTCAAACTGGTTTCACTGTTTATTGAGTCATAAACGTAACCAACCTCACATTGGACAACACTCTGCTGACCAGAAACTGCACTTAACATTTTTGTGATTCAGGTATGAAAGTTAGTGAGAGCTCTCTACCTAATTTATGGAAAGAACTGTTTACTGTGCCAGTAGCTAATATAAAGGCTAGTCGTCAGTGGCGCCACTAGAAAATTGCTGCCCCCACCAGGTAAGACCACTTGAACCATAAATTCATCTTATTTATTCAAGACATAAATGTAAAACCCAATAATAAAATTATACAAAATAATGAGTATAGAAAAAAATCAGAATAAAACTTATATTATAAAAAAAATTATATATGTTTCTGCTGCTCTAGTTTATATCTCCACAGTGTTTTGTAAAGACAGCAACAGGTGCATTAAACAAACAAAACAAAAAAATTCTAAAATTAATTTTGAAAAAAACATTTCAAATAACTGAAATGTATTTTTCTGAAATGTTTGTCTTTCTCAAATTTGAGTTTAGTGTTTTGGATACATTTGTTTTCTAATATATAAGAATAAAGGGGTAATGCATCACCACAGGGCCAACTGTCCCAGAACTACCACAAGAACTATTTTGATGTGCCACCCCAGAATTTCCTTTGGCCCTGCTTGGCCCTTATCAAAACTTTCTGGGTACGCCCCTGCTAGCAGGTAGCATTTTCAGTCAGCAGACTGTCAACAAAAAGCACAATAAGAAGACAAAGAAGAAGAGTTTTGCTTTTTTGTGGGCATCATGACGAAGTAAAAGTAAGATGTCTTTGGAGGTCAAGAAAACAGCTAAAACTAGAGTGAACGTCAGAATCAGAAAAGTGTTTTAGTCCATCGACGTGGCCGACACTATTTCGATGGAGCTGAAGGAGGCTACGAAATCAGACTCATAGTAACCTGGCTTTGTTGTTACTGAACTTGCAAGTAATAACTTATTTTTTGTCAAATAGTGGGGATCTTTTAATTTATGGTGTAGTTTATCATCAGTTGGCTCATGTTAGCATTAGCTTGTTGTTAGGGCTAGCTTCCACAGGCTGTGGCAGGTTTGTGTATAACATTTGTAATTCTGTTTTCCACCAGTAGGAGGAAGAAGCGGTAAACATGTTTAGTGTTGCTTGAATCCATCCACGGTCAAGCCACGCTATTCTAGAGCGACCTAACAGACATTTAATTTTATTTTACAAGTTGGTGCAACAACTTTCAACATTTTGTTTTCTGTTGGGTCTAAATCCAGTACCTGTGTCTTTGCATGTAAACTTCGCCTTTGGGTCACACATCCTTTTCGTGCCTTCACAGTCTTGCTCGTCACTTCCATCCTCACAGTCCTTGTCTCCGTCACATCTCCAACGCTCTGGGATGCAGGTGCCATCTGCTATGCAGTGGAATTCGTCCTCGCTGCACTCAATCACAGACGGCAGCACTGAAACAGAATGATCATCAACTTTTTTAATATTGATTTTTTTCAACCTGTAACTACAACACCAAAAATAACACAATGGAAATGTTTTTCTGTTTTATTTTTCATTCATGGAGGATAAAAAGGGTTATGAAAGGAAAAACTTCTTAAAATTCAGATAACAATAAGGTAAAGTAACTAATTAATGTACTCAAACATAATATTTATAACAGTTTTTGGAGTGCTTAACTGTTTAAATTTTATATAAAGACTAAAATATACTTTACAAAGTAGCTGACCAGCCACAAAAAACGGTTTAAGAGCAGACAGTTTAGCAACTATAGAGTTAAAGTTTGAAAGCTTTCTAATGTTTAAGTACATTGTTATTAACCCCCTGTAGACTACTGTTCACCAGTTTTCATCTGATCACTTCTGGACTGAAAGTGTACAGTTTTAGAATTAGTTACTTCATCATAAAACTTATCAAAAGTGTAGTGATCACAGATACAATTGGCCAAAATGAGTTTTCTCTGCAGGGTGGCTGGGCTCTCCCTTAGATATAGGGTGAGAATCTCGGTCATCCGGGAGGGACTCGGAGTAGATCCGCTGCTCCTCCACATCGAGAGGAGCCAGTTGAGGTGGCTCGGACATCTGGATGCCTCCTGAACGTCTCCCTGATGAGGTCGTCCATTTAGGAGGAGACCCAAAGGAAGACCCAGGACACACTGGAGGAACCATGTCTCTCTGCTGGCCAGGGAACGCCTTGGGATTCCCCCAGAGAAGTTGGCTCAAGTGGCTGGGGAGAAGAAAGTCTGGGCCTCCCTGCATAGGTTGCTGTCCCTGCAACCTGACCCAGAATAAGCGACTGAAAATGGGTGGATGGATATGTCTGTACCCTTCACAACAGCTGGTAAAGTGTATTCATTATTATCATTTCATTTTTCATATGGGTTAAATACTGTAGCTTAAAAACTTAATTGCATATCAACAAAACAGAAACCACTACAATATGAAGCATTGCGCATGTCTAAGAATAGATTGGGAGCAATAAAAAAATATACTGTTAAAACAATAAAAAACTATTTTACAGATTTTACCTAATTAAATAAATAAAAAGTAGTCATTCTATGCCATGCTATACACACCGCAGCACTTGCTTCACTATCACAGACAGATATATATTTTTTTCACAGGAACTACACTGTATTGAAATTCATTCAATGCAGCAACTCAGACAGAAGGGGAATGAAGCGTCCTGCAGCACACATCAGGGTTTAGTTTGATGAATTGTCTTCACATTTTAGTGACAAGCAAGTGAGCTGAGCATTTTCTGGGACCTTCCATTACCTCCTTGAAATAATTAGATTAAATGACAACTTCTGATGGTAACATTCCCACACAAAGAGAAGAAGTAAGGTTTCTTCACACACGAGTCAGCTAGCATAAGATAATCTGTAATTATCACATCTAAATCTATGTGTTGTAAAATAAAAAAAAAACATTCACAGAACATACAAGCACCAGACAGATATGTGTCCCTCTATTTATTAAATGGAAGTTAAATGGAAAGCAGCTTTAAAGACCAAGTTCTTTTTTTTTTTTTTTACTGCGATTGAGTGAAAACAGCAAAGGTGGCATTGGCTCATTGGAAATGACTTTGGCATCACCTTTGGACTAATTAAACTTGGCCTTTTCCTTGAGTCAAGAGCAGATCGAGGTACTTAAGTTCTTTATTTAGAAAAAGATTGTATTTTGCATCTTATTTGGCAAACTGTCTCATTGACTGACATTCGAAGCAGCTAAACCTAACTCAGGGTCTCTGCAGGTTTAAGGGAGCCACATTTAAGACTTTTTAAGACCTTTTTTAAGGCCACTTTGACCAAATTTAAGCTATTTCTTAATTTAATTTAAGCTATAATTTCCAGCTACTGCCTGAAACCGGTGCTAACCATGTCGCGAACGTGGGATTAGCCATCCAGTTACCATTAAACTTGCACTTCCCCATGGCACAAGCTTCCACTAGCTTAACCAGCTAATGTGCTCATCTAAAAATAGCCTCCTTTCACAACCAAATGAATGTGTGCGGTTCTGCTTACGCCAACATCATACACAAAAAATGCTGAACACTAACTAGATATTCACGAAAATTTTATAGAAATAAAATAATCTTGTGTCTTTGGTAATTTAAGACCTTTGGAAACTGGATCTAGGGATTATTAGTCATTTTTAAGGATTTTAGGGCCTTAAATTTGGAAAAGCTGATTTAAGACTTTTTAAGAATTTTTGAGGACCCACGGATACCCTGCTAACTGTAAATTTCGCCCAACAACTGAGATCTGTTTATTAGTTGAAGCCAGACTATGTATTCACGCATAGAATGGCTATGATGTTCAGGCATCTCCCCTTTGATTGGCTAACAGCAACACAACTCTTCCACTGACTTTGCTCTGCAAAGTTGATGTTTTATCTCCACAAATAACACAAGCCTGAAGAAGTTCAGCCATATTGTGGCATTACTAATGCTAACAGTTAGCTTCTACTAGGCGAGATGTGCTCTGCTCTCACCTGGAGGCTAAATCAACAACAGACTTCCTTGTTCAGAAGCCAAGATGGGTGATTCCATGAATGACAATTTTCAATGAGACACATAATTTCTATCAGTAGCTAATGCAGGAAAAAGAGGTAGAAGACTATTTTCATGTTCAGCCCTGCATGGTAAACTTAGAGTGACCAGTCATATTTAAAAAATAACAAGTAAAATACTGTTTCTCAGTGAAATTGGTCTTCACCTATCAGCCACATGAGCAAAGCTAATCAAGAGTTAATGATTTTTTTGTTATTCCACATGTTCACAACATTGTACAAAGCAATAATGATGATCTTACATGCAGATCCACCTCTGCAGGTTGTGTTCTCATCGCTAAAGTCACCACAGTCGTTGTCACCATCGCAAGCCCATTGGTCTGGGATGCAGCGACCACTGGTGCACTGGAACTGGCTGTTAGAGCAGGTCTGAATGCATCCTGCTTCATCGCTGCCATCACCACAGTCATCATCTGTGTGCATAAAGGGATTTTTAATTTTAAAAAAAGCAAATGCAGATATTAAAATCATTGGGCAAGTTTGTTGGAGCTCTCACCTGAATCACAATGCCACTTGACACTGATGCAGCGGCCATTTGAGCAACTGAACTGGGTGAGAGGTCTGCAGGTGGGGAATGCTGGAAAAAAATGTAAAATTAAAATTGCTGCAGTGGATGCAGGATCAAGGATATAATTCAACCCAAAAATCACCAATGAAATTTGGCATTGACTGGTGCGCAAATGCAATTTATACAACAGTTAGTTCCGCCCGAGTGATTTGATTGGTCAAGATACTTTCCAAGAGTGCTGATATTGGACTATAATGACACTGGGACTGTTTACAAAAAGTATCACTCCACTGTGCACAGCCTTTCTAACCGTTATTGTATAAAATGTTTGTGTTGCCTAGCAACAGCCTTGTCTGAGTCTCCGTTTCGTGTTGGGACTAGTTGTGTTGACAGAGCCTGATAAATGATTAAATACATGAACAAATCACAATCTTGTTGCTTATTGTTGTTATAAAAATAAAATGAGCAGGTAGAACTGTTGTATAAAGGCAATATCACACTCGAGGTCGCGCGTTGTTGCTGAATATCAGCACTGATGTGATTATCTACGGCACTCGGCCTGTGGCCTCGTGCCTACAACCGAATCACACCAGTGCTGATATTCTGCAACAACGCGCGACCTCGAGTGTGATATTGCTTAATTAATATTTCAGGTAAAGAGAAAAAAGGTTATGAGCAAACTGTTTAGCACCAAGGATTATTATAAAAGGATATTCATCAACTCATTCTGCATTGCTTTTAAATATTTGAGATGTTTTATTTAAAGAAGACTTATTTTGGAAAAAAAGTTACACTCCAGTTTAAATAATACTCAAAATGCTTCTTCTTTGTTATAGGTGGCACTGGTTGTAAGTGGAAAATAATGTGAAATTCCTCCTCTGATTGAAGCTTTGTACTCAGAGGAGCCTTGAGGTGCTTTGGTTTATTCAGAAATTCCATCTCAACATTCCATCTCTCCATCAATGTGTCCAGTCACAAAACAAGGTGTACAACATGCTGGAGCATGAAAGCGACAGATATAAGCTCTTTGATTTGTTTTACCTCTGTTTCTGTAGTGGTTTATGTTGCTATTGCTTTTTCTTATTAAACGTACAGTATGTAAGAATAGAGAATGACATCCTGTTGTCAAATTTGGTAACTGAAGTCTCTTTTTCTAAGCAAAAAGTTACTTTCTTGCTGTCGTTTCATTAGTTTCATGGCTGTTGTCAGTTACACATCAAATGGGCCATTCCCATCTGTACCGGGTCGGCCTGGGCCGGGTAGCATAGGTTGTTTACATATCTGGGTGGCCTGGTATTTTTCCGGGCCAACCAAGGCTCATTCTCAGCCCTCTTCACGAGGGGGTCTGCTTCAGGCCGACCAGGGCCAACACACCCACTGCTGACAGCAAATTCACACCTTCCATTAGAGCAAGCCTCTGATTGGTGGGTAGAATCAGCCCACATGGGCTTAAGGCAAGGATGTGTGGAATCAACCGGGCCAGGCTGGGGCCGACTGGGGCTACCCGGCCCGGGCCGACCCGGTACAGACGGGAATGGCCCAAAAGATTCTACATGACAAACAAAAATGAGTCATACACAATAAGTAGATCAATACATTGTTAAATCCGGCGTTAGCACTCGTGGATGTTTTACGGTAGGGAGCACTTACTACACTTATTACGGTAATATTTTTCCAGTATTAAGGGAAATACGGAAGTAAAATGCCACGATTCACTCATTATTCGCTTCACACTTGCACGTCCCTCTAATATGACTGTTTGCTTCTAATTCACCATTAGCATTGTTAGTTCAATGTTAGCCTCTAACCTGCTTTACCCAAAATTAGAGTAAAACAAAAGATGCTGTGGCTTCGAAGGGGTACAAAAATAACTTCTAGGTCGCTCCTGTTTACTGGCTTTAGTTCTTCATACAACTCTGGAGCTTTTTGCCTGCCGGTGTTGAATTACAAATGCCGGCACAGGAGCGTTTGCTCGGCATTAACTCTGCAGCCTGACAAACTCATTTTGTAAACATTAACTGCATCTCTCTTTTGAAAAACTGACAACCCCTCAGCCAGCTAAGAATGAAATATGTGTCAATGTAACCTTCCTTCCAACATTACTGAGACATTAGACTGTTAAACTGTATAAAATTCTAACAATGCTTCTTTAACTCCTATTAGGAAATGATTACGATCTATTCTAGTTCAGATGAGGAATACATTGTCAGTGTTGCAGTAAGTAGAGAAAAAAACATTTTCCATTTTTTGAGGGTTGATGACATTGTCAGGACTGACATTTATATTCCCATCACATACCAGCCTAGTTTTGGTATACTGTATACTGAATGCCTGAAGCTTTATTGACTTCTGTATGAAATGTGAGTCTTCATTTGAATTGATTTGTTGGCATCTGCTGCAGCTGTATGGAATACCTTCTGCACATGGAGCAGCTCCACTGAATCATTATCATATAAGTGTCATCTACAGCAGGCTGCGTTTCCCTCAAAGGTCGTAGGTCTCATTGACAGCAAACGACTGCCTGGAATTTAACATTGGTAAAGAAAGGAGCACGAGCATACATAAATAATGAGGGTTTCGAGTAAACAGTGAGCAGAGCTAAAAATGAAACACCGGCATCTATAAATAATGATGGCTTCAAGGGAACAGATAGTCCGACACAAGACATTGTTTGACAAGTACTAAACTACTGACAAACAAAATCCAAATTAACATCAATCTCTAAAGCAGCCACCACGAAGCTTCGGGTATTCCAAAACCCACAGAAGCTCCACCCAAGCTAAGTGAGCTGCCAGAGCTTCACACAAGAGCGCCTGCAGAGAAGTAATGCCCGAGGAAGCTCAGACAACGGTATGGGAGAGAATATGTTTTGCTGCACAGCTTGATTATGATTGAATGAAGCCGAGCATGAACTTTAATTACTGCTTACACCCTGGCTGTTTGTGACTGAGTGTTGGAGCAGCTTAGGACACACAAAGGGAGGCTGACGCGATGCAGCACAGAGCAGCACTTGGCAAACATCAATCACCGTTAAAGGCTGATTTAATACAAATAGTGATTAAAGAGAATCCTAGAAAGTTCCCCCTTTATCCTTCAGATGTTTGCAGCTAATTCTACTGGTTCAACCTCAACCTCATTGATGAAAACATCATTCACAGCCCCAAACGCTCTATCCCCTCTCACATAATAAAAGGTTAAATACATCTTCAAAGAGCGTCAGAAACTTCAGGCCATTATAGCTCATGGACCCCCCCCCCCCCCCCCCCCCTTTATATTTTTATAAATTATTCCAGAACGCTGCACCTTTTATCTCACTGACCTTAGCTGGCTTATTGTATAATACTAGAGAGGGACTGCTCTAGAACAGTGGAGGACTGTCAAAAGTATGCTGTTTGTACAGCATCACTCTTGAAGCTGTTGCCACTAGTGAGGACATGTCTAGTTTCTGCTTCAAACAACATGACATCAATAATTCCAGCCTCAAATTAAAAAAACATTTAAAAATGGCAAGCAGCTCTGCACTAGCCTCGAAATGTAGACCAACTGTAGCAGTAGTCAAAAGATTCTGGTCTGCAGGACAGTCTAGCCACGCCCCATTGTAGCCTTATTAGCTTTACGTTTATTGGGCAGGCTTAACACCAGATGTAAGACAGAGAATAACAAAGATGGTGTCGGCTCAGGAATGGTGCTCATTGGAAATGGCTTTAGCATCATCTTTGGATGATTTAGATAGACAGGAGAGGCAGAGAAGCCACGTTGATTGAAGTCCAGTGTAAAGTTTCCAGTCAGTGATGGTTTGGGGTAACATGTCATCTGCTGGTGTTGTGTTTACCAGCACTTCATGTTTCCCAATGCTGAACAACTTTATAGAGATGCAGATTTTGTTTTCCAACAGGACTTGGCAACTGCACAGTGCCAAAGCTACTAGTACCTGGTTAAAGGACCATGGTATCTTTGTTCTTGAATGACCATCAAACTGGCCTGACTGTAACCCCGTAGAACAACTTCAGACCCAACAATTCAGAAGAGCTGAAGGCCACTACCAGAGCAACATGGGCTCCGATCAGTGATCGACTCCATGCCACACCGCATTGCTGCAGGAATCCAGGCCAAAGGAGCCCCAACTAAATATTGAGTTTTATACATGGCTCACACATTTAATGTTCATTATTTTCAGCTGGCCAACATTTCTAAAAATCCTTTATTTGCACTGGTCTTCATTCAAATTCAAATTTTCTGTGATACTGAATTTGGGATTTTCATTAGTTGTCAGTTATAATAATGAAAATTAAAGAAATAAACTTTTGAAATGTATCAGCATTACTGAAATAAATCAATTTTGTTACGATATTTTAATTTTATGACCAGCACCTGTAGAATGGCTTGCCAGGCTGAGCAGCAATTACATTGCATTATATTTCTTCAAAATCATCATCGTGGAGAATTTGGAGTGCAAATGCGATTCAGAAAAGGGTACTTGTGAGAATGCCCACACCCACAGGTGATTCTGCAAACACCAGCACAACCAGCTTGTTTTATTAATGACCACAATTAGTCTACTAGGAGTAGCACAGATTAGCAAAGTCACAAACAAACAGACCTGCTGATATCCATGGGCATGTGCATCACCAGCGGAACAGCCAGCATGTTTCTTGTGGCTAAGACAAGTCCCAAGCATGTATCTAATCACTCGTCTCAGTGTTTGAATGTGTCCCAAAGACCATAATAATTGGATGTGCTTTACACTCGTCTAAGCACATCCAGATGTGTTCTTCTGTTGTTGCTGAGACAAAAGTCAGATCCCATGTGAAGCAACACACCAAACCAAAAATGACTGACTAAATTATCTTTGTAATCAATCATCTCATAGTTCTGGACCTCCACCTGCATCTGTGAATCAAAGCACTGCAATGAATGCAATGTCTTCATTTTCTAACCAGTGCATAGTAAAGCTGAGGTTGATGCGAATGCCATTGGGTCGGTGCCATAAATAAAGATGAGCCATCACAAATTAAGTATAAATCATTCTCTAGTTGTCTCGATCAGCTTTCATGCTAATCCATTTAGGAGTTGGAAAAGTGCCAAATTCTTGGCAGCATCAAGATAAACGTCTGTGCAAAAGTGAGCACATGTAAATCTAATTTCACAGGATATCTGATTCTTCCAGAAATAATTGGGGCGTTTAAACTACACCATCAATTGCCTTATTATTTTTTCTTCCAGACAGACTGATGTTTCATAAAAATGGTGTTTTACAGTATATATAAAAAACAAAAAGATGCTTTTTGCGTTGGTAATTCCTTGTTAGCTATCTTCTGCTGCTTGTAGTGCTGGCCGCCATACTCAAAAAACCTTCACACTTAGCATTTTGTTTTATGTACCATATTAATTATTAATTTTTGTGTGTATCGGGAATCTCGGCCTATCCATAATTTGCCTTCCAGCTTTATTTTTGTGGCCTGATATTTGTCTTTTCTTTCACTTGTGTACTTTCATCACTTCTTTCAACAGCTCAAAAAAGTCCTAGTCAGGTCACAGCACTGGGTATATAAAAGAATGAGAAAAGCCAAAGACCAAAGAAAAGCTTTAAAAATCTCCATAACAGCCCCGGGAACCGCTGATAAAGATGTCTTTCAATGTTTAAACGAGTTTACTTTTTCAGAAGAGACATGTAAACAACAAGAACACAAAAGAAAGGTTTATACATAAATAAAAAGATGGAGAGCTGTAAAATGTGTGCACAGTAGATCTGTTTTAAGTCTTCTAACACAATTCTAACCAAAACGGAAAAAATAAAACAATTATGGAAAATAAAAGTTACATTTTAAAATAAGCACTTTTGTTTTGGTGCACCAGTTATCTCAAATATATTTTTTAAGCACAGACCACAATGTCCCATGGGACTGCTCATGACACACAGCGAGAACACCAGAAAGGTGGCACGCTATGTGCTCCAAGGTTTCAGCGACCCAAACTGCACAAAGTCTCTCCCAATCAGGACCAGCTAACGCCATGAGCCCCCCCCCAAAAAAGCATACGTCACTAAAAGCCGACAGCTAACCAAAATAACAGTGCTGAAACTATGAAAAAGCCCCACAGTAAACTTTCTTTTATTAGTCTCCAAACTGACCTTTAATACAGTGGTGCGCTTGTTCCTGCTTGTAGCTTCCACTGTTGCTAATTCTACTCTCGTCACCCGTTGCTTGCGTCAATCCCTGGGTGAGTTTTCATTGGTTGACTGCAGAAGGGAGTTGCAGGTTTTCAAGAGTGCTTGAAGACTGCTGGAGGCTGACTTATGTTGTGAGGGTGCTCAATAAGCCGTCACTGAGCCGGTCGCACTGGATGGCCGCAGACTTGCACCCTCATCGTTCATCGTTATTTGTCACAATTCTGTTCAGGATGAGAGATTCGTCTAGAACGGCCAAAGAACGCAGTGTTGTCCTGGCATGTATGGTCACCTCTAAAGGTGTCCTAGGATGTATTTTTTTTAAATAATTAGAAAGTGATCTTTGAGCATCTATAAATCATACAGAATTTTGTTGGGGCTCACAATGGCCCATGAACCCTGGTAAATGGCTAAACACAAACCCATAATAATGCCCTACAATGGAAAGACTGGTTTGCTGCTCCCACTTGGCCAGGACCTAACTATTAATGGAGCCATGTGCTAATTGGCCGGTTTATCCCATTGGCTCAGTGCCTGCCTGACGTTAGTAACTGTGTGTTCTGTGTGTGAGATGGAATAAGTATGCACAGAGAACAGAGTGTCCAGCTGGTAGTGGAGCTGAGGTTTGTGGACAAAACAGGAAGAGGACAAGGTTCGTAAGCTGTGGATCTAGCTGCCGTTCATTCATTGTCTGGATATTCCAGTACATTCTGGAACACGAATGGTACTCCAACATCTGTCTTTGATGTTTTTCTCTCGTCCAACAAGGACTTTAGCAGTAGCTCAGGCTGGTGTTAGCAGTACTTTGGGCTAGCATTCTGCGGTTAGCATTACAGTGACCAACATTTCCATATTGCCGATGTTAAAGTGAGTTGGGAAATTCAGATTTAAGGTGGTGTGTCTAAGCTTACGATTGGTTTTACCAGATTTTTTTCCAGAAAGGACCATTTATCTGTGGCTGTGATAGCATTACTAATTTATATAAGAAAGCAGGTCGGAGATGGCAGACTTCTATTTAGCTAAATCAGACACCCCAAGCTGCTTGCCCTGCTGGTAAAACCAGCATAGACCAGCAGAGTTGGTTACCAGTATATGTTGTGTTTTGGTGCTGGTATGCTAGACCAGCACACCAACTATGCTGGTGTGTGCTGCTTTTTCCCAGTAGGATATGTTCAGCAACAGCAATGTAAATGTGGTTTCACATTCTAGAACCCCTTTAAGGTGCTTTTTTTTTTTTTTTTTTTTTTGTCAAATAGCAAAGAGCAACTTTGTATGTGATTATTCAATGGAAGTGCTGTTAAACACAAATTTCACGTCTATCAATTAGAAACACATTGTTACGTTTGTGAGCAGAAACAGTAAAAATGTTGACAGGTTCCTGGCACAGCCATAAATTACACACTCACATTTTGAGCATTTCAAGTGCAAAATGTAAAACGAGTTTTGACATCTCACCTCCTGATGACACAACCTTTCAGTCAGCGATGTAAATCTACAGCTCTGGCATGTCTCGCTAGCTTGTTTTATGCATGCCCGCTTTCTCACCGCAGCTGTAAATAAAACCACTCTGGGCTGCAGAATCTCTGACCATTTCACCATTTGCTGTTAGGCTTCGTTTTTTTATCCCGTCACTGACATTCGAAGGCTTTGTGGAAAAATCAGTTTGAGACCTACTGCAAGAGATTTCGTCAGACAAGTCCCCACAATCGTCCTCCCGATCACAGCTCCAGCCTCGAGGTATACAACGTCCGTTCTGGCAGGAGAACTGGTCCGCTTGACAGGGCCGAGCTGAGGAACAAGAAAAACGGCTACTTAATTCAATCACAGCTGCGTGAGTCGATGCAAGATTGCACTACAGCATCTAATGTTCTGTAGATCACCAAAAACGTCAATGTCTGGCCGGTGCAAACTCTTTATCACTCAATCACACGGTGGAGCCCAGTAGGTGTGATGGCTGTGGGGAAATGTGCTGTTGCTTGATGGGCCGTCAGTCACATGCTGGTGGTGATGCACATGATGGCGCACGGGCAATGTCCTGCTAATGTTGGATATGCCCGTCAATCCTCCAATCAGGGAACATTCATCACACACTGACTAATGCTGCCTGATTGATCCTGCATGGGTAAAAAAAACCACTGAGGACATAGAGATGATGTGATACGCAGTGAGTGCTGCCTCTTGTGCACGTGTTTGAACTCTTTCATACTGGAGGGTTTTTCCTCACAATGGGACTGAAGGAGCTGCACCAAAGCTGAATCTTAAGTAACGAGAGTAATTGCTGCCTTGGCAACACCTGAAACTTCTGTTCAAGATGTTGGTGGGTAAAGAACACCTGCGGCGAGGACATTTTATCCAAGGAGGACAAAAAGAAAAACGATTTAAACATCTTTTTTTTATAAACGATCTGTGCAACCAAGTGCAACAGCAAAGAAGCTACGGTCTTTCATTTTCACCATCTACAAGATCAGACAATGCTAAATTAATTACAATGTCCATTCATCTTGTAAGAAACAGAAAATTAACCACATTATGTCAAATTTGTGGAAGAAGGCTCAGTAATAGTTCTAAGGATGTTGAGGGTTTTTTTTGGCAGGGAAAAGAAGCATTAAATTATTCCAATCAATCAACGAATGTGCAAAAAGAATCAGGACGGACAGATGGCAGATTGCCTTTGTCCTCCGTTTATAAGATGATGCAATTAAAATACGATCAAACACAAAAAATCATAACGGTTCCATTCATACCTGAGCATGTAGTGTTGGACTCATCCTCGTTGTTACCGCAGTCGTTTGTTCCATCGCAGAGCCATCTTTTGGGGATGCAGCGATTGTTGCTGCATTTGAACTGATCAGCAGGGCAGGTGTGGTTATCTGGAGCAGGTAAAACAAGACCTCTCGTGACCTTATGGAAGTAAAACTCAACAAAGTTAAGTAAATAAAATAATTAAAGTGACTTACGTTTTCTTTACTTACAGTGGGTACGGAACATATTCAGACACCTGTCGATTTTTCACTCTCTTATATTGAAGCTGTTTGCGAAAATCAATGCATTTTTTCCTCATTAATGTACCCACAGCACCCCATAATGACAGAAAAACACAGATTTTTAGAAATTTCTGCAGAGTTATTAAAAAAGACTGAAATATCACATGGTCTGAAGTATTCAAACCCTTTGCTCTGACACTCATACATTTAACTCAGGCGCTTTCCATTCCTTCTGATCCTCCTTAAGATGTCCCTAGACCTTCATGTGGGTCCAGCTGTGTTTGTTCATACTGACTGGACTTGATTAGGAAAGCAACACACCTTCCTAAATAACACCTTATAGCTCACAATGCAGAGGTTGTGGTCAAACTAGGAGCTGGAAGCAGCAAGCCGGCTGTGTGATCTTTTAGCTATTAGGCTCCTCTCTTGTGGAACCAACTCCAATCTTTAGTCCGTGAGGCCGACACCTTGCCTACTTTTAAGCCTAGGCTTAAAACATTTTTATTTGATAAGGCCTATGGTTAAACTCTGATGTTAGCCCACATGTGGACAAGTGGGGGAGTAGAGGAAGGTAGAGAATACAGTCGGTAAAGACGGCTCTCCCTTGCCCTGTCGCCAACATGCCTCCATCTAAAAGGCTAGTTTATCCAGAGTTATCTCTGTAGTTATGCTGCTATAGGCTTAGACTGCTGGAGGACATAAATGAAAAATGGCCCGCACTTGTATAGCGCCTCTCAGAGTAAGGACTCCAAATCGCTTTACACTAAAGTGCATCATTCATCCATTCACACACACATTCACACACTGATGGTGATGAGCTACGATGTAGCCACAGCTGCCCTGGGGCGCACTGAGAGGCGAGGCTGCGAGCACAGGGGCCACCGGTCCCTCCGACCACCACCAGCAGGCAAGGTGAGTTAATTGTCTTGCCCAATGACACAACAGCAGAATTCTCTGTCCGGAGCCGGGATCGAACCTGCAACCTTCCGATTACTGGACAACCTGCTCAACCTGTTGAGCTACTGCTGCCCATACTGACCACTTTCCAAACTCCACTACTTTTTTCTACAATTTACTCTTTAACTGTATTATTTCCTGCTATTTCAGCTGTTAACTTTATTTTTTCTCTTAAGTGTTTTTCTCCCCAGAAGAAGCTAGAATGCTTTTCTGCTGAGCTGTGGTGGCCTCATGGAGGGAGCCATCGGCTTGAAAACTGCTTCTAACCATTTGAACATTTTCCCTCTCCTGATATTAACTTTTTACTTTCTTTGACATTGAATGTGCTACTACTAGTTTACCCGTTTAATTATAGATTCACCAGGATAAATACAATAAAGTTGATTTCTCACTAAATTGAATTTTTACTAAGAAATCACAATGTAACCATAGAATTACTACTTGGACTTTATGGTGTGTGTGTGTGTGTGTGTGTGTGTGTGTGTGTGTGTGTGTGTGTGTGTGTGTGTGTGTGTGTGTGTGTGTGTGTGTGTGTGTGTGTGTGTGTGGTGCTGGTGTGCATTTTGCAACCACTAACCCTTATCACTGTGTGGTGATCAGGGACGCGCTAGATGCTACTGTTGTGTTCGTTGACGGTGGTATGTCAGATGACGGTCCAGTGCCTCAAAGCGCTGAGACTTGAGTTCATGGGGGTGGGGGTGGTTGTCTCTGAGTTGCGTTCTGGTGCTTTTGTTAAGGGGGAGGTGTACGGCGTTTCAAACGATGTTTCTGAGTCTGAGGTCTTTGATTCCTTCTGTGGGGCGGTTTGGCAGTTTGGCTTCTGGGGTTTGACACACATGGATCCATTCCACTGTTATTTTCAAGTTTTCCTGTAGGGGTTGTGTGTGTGTGTGTGATCACTGGGGAGAGTACTGGTGTGGGGTTCTGCTGATGGTAGCTCTGTGGGTGCACAGGGGTAGGGATGTTCGTTTGTTGAGCGTATTGGGTTGTGTTGGTTTGGCTGTGGTGGGTGATGTGGCAGCAATGCGCCTTTCTGGCATCCAGCCTGCCCTATTTAATTACGAAGAAGTTGAATGCACGTCAGAGCAAATGGGAATCATTAGGTCAAAGGACCTGCCTGAAGAGCTCAGAGACAGAATTGTGGCAAGGTACAGATCTGGCCAAGGTTATACAAACATCTCTGCTGCACTTCCTAAGAGCACAGCGGCCTCCATAATCCTTAAATGGAGGATGTTTGGGACGACCAGAACCCTTCCTAGAGCAGGCCGTCCAGCCAAACCGTGCTACAGAGGAACAAGAGCCTTGGTGAGAGAGGTAAAGAAGAACCCAAAGATCACTGTGTCCACCGGTCAGGGCTTTATGGCAGAGTGGCCCGTCGGAAGCCTCTCCTCAGGGCAAGACACAGGAAAGCGTAAGAAACTTGTGGCATCTTTATGAAGAAGACCCATGGCTGTGTTAGCTCAAAAGGGTGCTCCTACTAAATACTGAGCAAAGGCTCTGAATACTTAGGACCATGTGATATTTCAAGTTTTTCTTTTATAACAACCGCATACATTTCTAAAATTCAGTGTATTTCTGTTATTATGGGGTGCTGTGTGTACAATCATGAGGAAAAAATGACTTTAATTGATTTTAGTAAACCACAATATAACAGAGTGAAAGACTGATGGGGGTCACAATATTTTCCGTACCCGCTGTAATAGACCTATTTTTATTTTCGGGGACACTCTGATCAGACATTAAACCAGAACAAAACTCCTTAATCTGACAGCTTGTCTTAAAGGAGAACTATTATTTATTTAATCTAATCTTTCTTAATGATTACCTTTCATGTGAATTATCAAAATATTGAAATTATTAACGGTTTAGCCTTACAACCAACTCATAAAGCAGCTTGAACACCAGGTAAAATGTCTTATGTCTTAGGATCAAGCCCCCACAATGCGGCTCTAAAATGGGTCCAAACGCGGAAGTACCAAAAATTGCAGTTCCACCCTCATCCACTGGGGGCTGGTGTCAGAAGCGAGCAAATCCTCATTGACTCCCATGTTAAAAATACCAATTTCACAGCAGAAATAAACATGTTTAAAGCCTGGTACCAAAACATGTTTTTGGTTTAAATTATCTAGTTTACACTCATGACAACTCTGAGGGGGGTGAATTTTTTTCTCACTCTTCTGTTTAAGTGTATTAAAAGCCTAAAATTCTGTATAATTAATGAGCATCAGACCCACGTGACCACAGAGCTAGCTCCGTACGAAAGGCCTCAGTAGAGCCTCGGTCTGGCTTGAAAACTGTTCCAGGATTTTGAGTCTCTGTGTTTGTGTATTCTTGTTTGGATATTATTTGTGCAATTGTTGGACAAAATGACTTGCTGTGGCATTAATTGCACTAATAGAGCGTCCAAGGAGTCTCCACTTCATTATTTTCGGTAAGTAAAATTATATTTATGTATTTTAGGTCACTGCCGAGCTGAGCTTAGATTTTAACATGTACTGTTTAACCATGAAATTTAAATGTAATAGTGTAAAACCCAGTGCATTTACCATAATGCTGCACTTTAGAAAATGGGTTGAAATATAACATGTTGGTGGAGCTGGGTTCCGACTATCAGCTTGTGGAGCTCTCGGGAGACCGATGTTTTCCACCCGGTTCTCCCCTCCCCGCAGCTCGGCGCATCTCTGTCTGATCACGGCTTCTGTGTGCTGTGCGGCTGCCGGCTTGTGGAGGTCTCGGAGACCGATGTTTTCCACCCGGTTCTCCCCTGGCTTCACGGCTTCTGTTTTCTGTGCGCAATGCTGGCTTGTGGAGCTCTGGGATGGAAACCTTTCCACCCGGTTCTCCCCAGCGGCGGCTCTGCACATCTCAGATCGCAGCGGCGCTTGTCTGCTGTGCGGCTGCCGGCTTGTGGAGGTCTCGGAGACCTCTGTGTTCCACCCAGTTCTCCCCAGCGGTCAGCCCGGCGTATCTCTGACTCAGAAGCTCTGGTGTTGTGCACAGTTAACTCCGGTTGTAGCTAGGTTGCTACCTCCATTAGCTTAGTTCCCACCTCCGCATTAGCTTTGGGTTAGCTTCAGGTTAGCTTGTAGCTAGTTCGACCGGGTGTCGTCAGTTGATCCCAGCCTTACAGCCCCACCCTCAGCTCCACCTCTTTTCCCTTTTGTGGAATTGTCTGGGCTTGACGGAACCTGTGACACGGTCAAAATGGTGGTGGCCACCTCCCATTTGGCCTCAAAAACGTGTTATTGGAGCCTATGGAAAGGAGATGTCCAGTATATTTATGTCGATGCTTAGGATTTATGTTTCAATCCAACTCTCCTTCTGACTGGATTGAGACCTTAGACTGTTTTGTGATTATTTCACTACAAAACCTTTACATTTTGCTCCTTGAACATATTTTAAACTCACCTTTAAAGTTTGTTTTTAAATTAAGATGCACTTTTTGATTGTTTTGATAAAGTCACGTTCAGGTAATAAAACATACATTAATAAGGGTAAAAACCAATCTCGTTTGTTTCCCTTTTCAGCCTCGTAATCGGCTCTGGTAGCACAAAGTTTTCTTTTCCGTGAACCCTCACCGCTTCAGAGTTGCACTAAGTGACTGTGATTTCTTCTATTTATTTATTTATTTGTTTTTGTGCATGCCTAACCCAATAAGTACCATTTAGCTGTAATACATCAAGGTCTTAGAGTCAGATTCTGCAAGAGGGACCAGAGATTAGAACAAATTAGTTCTTCTCTAGTTTCTAGTCACAGACATTGCTTCCAACATGTCAAATAAAACTGTATTTAAAAGTTTGCATGAAGTTAGTTTGTGTTGTTAAGGAGATTCACCAACTTACATAGACTCTGTTACAAATGTGCTGAGTTGCTTAGCTTGCACTGACAATTAGAGAAAAGCTCAGTTTCTGCTTAGATAAATCAAGTTTGATTATTGTATACCATACTCCAGCAGCATGGTTAATAGATTTTTTTTCTTTTCATGCTGGCAGATGATTACGTTGAGATAATTTTATGCTTTTGTCGTCTTTGAAAAACCCATTTAAAATCATGTTTATCCAAGTAATTTGTTAAAGAGCAGCTCCTCTTCTGCATGAACAGAACGGGAGACAGCAACACATTTAACACCCCGACTTCAGTGACATTTAGGAACACAGATACTGACAGCAAGAGAGACGTAACTGTAAAAAGCTTAGGGCTCTCTTTGCTTGGTGCACGACAGCGCATGTTAGTATATTGACCCAGATGCACGTGTGATTTTTATGCAGGGTGTTTGTTGACTGTAGAGTAATAAAGCTCCTCACAGCAGCTGTGGCTCTCTTCATCACTCCCATCCAGACAGTCGTCGTCTCCGTCGCATTTCCACAAGGCGCGTATGCAGCGATGATTGAGACACTGGAACTCATCACTTTTGCATCGCGGCGGCTCCAAACCACTGGTGGAAGATTCTAGCAGAAAAGGGAAAAAGAATAAATAAAGAAAAGTTTAAAAAATCATCAAGGGACTTTCCATGAGGTATGCGCTTGGGAGAAATTATTGCCAGAGCTATAATAGCAGGCAAATCAAGTTAATAATGTCCCACAACCCCACAAAATACCAAACAACTGGGATTAGGTTTGTAACTGGAGATCTGCTGGGATAGTCTTGTTGTTTATTAGTGAATTTGCATGCAACCAAAGGAGGTTGCTGTTTGAGCTTTGTCCCTAAGGATGGAACCAGGATGATGGTAGAGGGATGATCTTGGGCTCTCCTGTTTCATTCTGATTCATTATGTCCTCCTACCTGCACAGGTGACATTGTTCTTCTCCAATACTTGGTTGTCAGCGCAGGCACAAACTCTGCCTCCTGGGATGGCGAGGCAAAGGGTACCACAGCCTCCATAATTCACACTGCACGCATTCTCACCTGGGGAGATAGATTACAAAAACAATATGGTGTCTTGTGTCTAATTATACCATTCCAAGTCCAGTTTAAGTGCCGCATAATTGTGCACCTTTGTTTTCGGACCTTTTACAACGTTAAATCCTTCAAAATAACTTCTCATTTTGATACAAGTTTCATTCCTTGCCTAACTATGACATGCCATGAATTGTGGAGAACGCTGCACGTAAAATATTGCATTTGACTTTTTTTTAATCATTGTTGGAGGGATAATTTGTCTTTATGGACAAAACTGTCAGCTTTCAAAAGCAAAAAGCAAAAGCACAAGCAGTTAAGGTTTGTGACACCTTTGTCACTTTCATTTAACGCGTTGCATAAAAAGAAGTGCCTGAGCCAATGAGATAAAGACTTTAGTTTTATGGAAACCCAATCAGTTCTGCTCACAGTACTGGACAACCAATTCATCTATTCGGTGACGTGAACAAAAGGCAAATGTTCAGCATGTTCTCTTGCATGGTTTGATTCAACCATATGCTGACTCGCATTGTGCTTTTTTTCCCCGTCTTGCTTCGAAATAAACAAATTTGATGCAGTTGTATTAAAATAAACACTTATGTTGCAACAAAGGTGCACTTGCATGTTAAACAGCCCTCCTCCACATGCATTACGTTCTGCTTTTACAGATCTTTTATGAATTAACACAACAAATGGTTCCTATCAGGGCCAGTGGATCTCTTCTTTGACAGCAATTTCCGTTCCGCCTCCTGTCTGTTCTTTTCAGCGTCATAACAGACTGAATCGATCATCATTTCTTGCAGAAGTGAGGAAAGTAAACGGGTTTTATGTCCCCAGTGCACCAAACGCTGCTGTTTCTGCGCGTCAAAGCTGGGACCGAGATGCACCTGTTGTTGCATCTTTGATGACAGGAGCCGATAAACATGTAAGAAAGTCCTTGTTGGCCGGCTGAGCGAAAACAGCGAAGGAGAAAATTATATATTTAATTTATTCAACCGTTTGACTGAATAAAGAGCAGCTAAATTATTTCATTATTTGTTTTGTAAAATCTTCATGGTCGCAGTGCTTCATTGTTATTTAGTTATTTCATTGCTGGTTACAAGCTAGTTCACCTGATTTAGCAAATGAGTTAAATCCATGACCCTACCTATGTGTTAGAACTGTTGGAGAGGTGTCTAAAATGCAGCCTGTTTGTAATTTAAGCTGTTTTCTAAATAAATCTTTAACTGTTTGTACAAAGTTGTGGGCATGCAAGCACACACAGGTACCTGTTTACATGCAAACTACAGCAGTAATTTTATCCTCATACTGATTTTTGATACATTTTCAGTTGTTTTTGCATGCAAAGTGCATGTTTTCGGTTACCTTAAACACTTGACCAAAGTAATTGTGTTTTTTTCTGCATTTTGAATAAACTAGTAAAAGAATAACGCATGGTTACAATTAGGGAAAACCTTTTTTACAATTATCCAATATAATATTACAGACAAACTCTTAATTTCCGATTCCAATATATGTGGGGTCCCCCTCATCCTAAAGGAAAAAAAAACACTATTATTTTAGATAACCAACATCACATATCTTCAATTATCAGTGCAAAACATGGCACTTTTTTCACATTTAAGCTGCAATAGCAAATTTGGAAACCAAATTAGTTGAAAACATATGTTTATGCCTTATAACAACGTTCTAACATATAAAGCCAGACTGGAAGTAACCACAGGACCATCCAGTTTTCGGTCTCGCTGAACCGCTGCACTTCCCTGGGTCCTCCACTCATAACACACTCTCGAATTTAGCAACAGAACACCACTAGTGTGAGAGGTTCTCCGCTCAATATCAGAGGAGAAACAGCCAGCTGCTACCACTTCAACATTAGGACAAACTACCAGAGCCCCAAATAGAAAAATTATACATGAAATATATATATATATACATATATGACTGTTTGGACTAGCTTTGATGCTAGCCAATAAATCAGTTAAAGTGGTAGACAGAGAAAAGAAAACTACATGGTGATGTCATGAGGTTGCACACTTGATGCGGTTATTACCAGTCAAGGATCTTCTACTGAAGGTTCATTTTTGCTCACTTTTTCAGTTTGATCTAGCTCTATTTTCTCTTCACTCTTCCTTCTTTTTGTCATGTTCTATCAAGTCAATGGTACCCTCTAAGCTATCTAGATGTATAGAAAACCACCTGAAAAATGCAAAACAGACAACAAAAAAGGGTAAATTGCTTGTAAACCTTTTCAAAGCATCTTAATGCCAAACTCATTTTACTTCCGTCAATAGAGAGAAAGAAAAAAGAAAAAACTGGCCTTGCTGTTCCATTAGTTTTGGAAGAAACCGTACGTGCACGCACTGAATCAGACATGCAGGCATTATATTACTCTCTCAACTCTGCTCATTTTATAAGCACGTTGAAAGGTACTCAATACATTATAATCTGCCAGCAGGGGTTCCTGACAAAGTATGTAAGAGTGAAACTGAGCTTGCAAAGCCCTGCACCCCTTGATCACCTTCTGCATTTAGCTTGATGTGGAAGTCTAAGTGCTCTTAGAGTCACTGTCACTGTTAATCAGTTTGTCCCATGAAATTGGAGACAAACTTGTCTCTTTCTAACGGCAGTGGGTATAGGGGACTTAGATTTTGGGACACTCCGCACAGAGAGGTCCTATTTCCAGTGCAAAAGAGCCACTTTCTCTGTTGAGGCGATTCACGATTCAGCAGCACAGCTAAATAAAGGGAAAGCAGCCAACCTTGCTGACTCTGTGCATCATAGACACGCAGGCCAAACAGAGGTGGTCTCTCGCTTCGCAGCAGAGTGACATCGCCGGTGGACAAGTCCAGCTGGAATACAGATGCGTTCATGTACTCCGTCCAAAAGATAAAATTACGATAATGAGAGATTCCAAAAGGATGGTTCAGCTCTTTTCCTCTGTACACCACCTGCAGCATGAAACGAAACACAACACCATCAAAAGATTAGGAGGGTGACACAGAGACTCAAACGGCAACAGAAATATCAACCCCCCTTCAACTGTTCAAATGTGGGCTGAAAATATTATTCACAGGATGATGAATGTTACTTCATTTCTTTGTACAAATGTAATCTGAGCAGAACGTCAGCTTGTAATAACATCTGATAAAATCTTGGCATTGATTAAGAGATCATTTACGAGTAATTCATGATCATTCATAAGCAAGTTTAACTGCAGGAGAGGTTAAAGAAGAAAGGATCTTCTGTTAGCAGTCGTCATGAGAGGAGGAGCCAAAGTTGTGCAATATACAAACATTTCCAGTCAATATTTATCTGTCCAAATATGATGATGGGCGGTATATTCATTCAGCAGACTTTTAGACTTTCTGTGGGCCTGACACTGACTGCACGGAGCACTCCACCAATCACAATCATTCTTACCCAGTTTGTGGAAGCAGGCCACAAAGGTCACGCGTGAGATTTCGTTAGCTATTTGATGCGTCAATCAACTATTAAGTGGGCCAGAGTTGGTCCGCACTAAACACTTGGTATCAGAGGGCTTTTCTTCTTACCTTTCAGCCAATAGCGGATGATTTTGCCCAAAGGGAAGTGTGCAACCCTTACTGATTTGGGAAGATGGCACTCAAAAGTTTGTAGCTAACGTGGATGTGCCAATGGGGAGAGTGAGAGACACATCTGAGGGATATTCTTCATGGTAAATCATGTTAGGTTGTGAAAGTAAGACTTGTTTTGGACTATTTTACTGGACTTCTGGATGTAAAAAAAGACGTTTTATAGAACTGGCTCTATTCTGTCAATGATTTGAGGCTTCGATGGGTGAGTTGGACTTTATTTTGAATTTACGAGTGGCTTCTCTACAGTTATAGTTGAATCTTTGATTGCCAAATCACAAGAATCCTAGCTTTGTGATAAATACTTACTTAAAACAAGTGTTGCAAAAAAAAATTGTATTTGACGTGGAAGTTTGCAATGTTCCATCAGCGAGACTAATTCATACGCATTAAAACAAAACCACCAATTTAAAAATGATCACCAAAGGCCTACGTGCATCTGCCCAACCATTTTAATTTCTCTGCTTTAAAGAACATCACAACTGAAACACTTGGTTTTCCAGTATGTACATGTGAAAGACTGGTATTTTCATTAACCCATTTCTTATACCTACAAACAGCTAAAATATGCATTTTCATCAACTTAAATTGTTAAAAATGCCTCAATAAGATAAGCTGCATTCAACTTTACCATTCTTCCTGTTCCATTCAGGTGAATCTTCTCAATGTGGTCATAGTAGGCATCACACCAGTACATGGTGCTGGTGCTGTGGTCCAGCGTCAGACCGTTAGGCCAAAGCATGTTGGAGGTGACAAAAATCTGCCGGTTGGATCCATCCATCCAGGCCTTTTCTATCCGCCCTATGCTGTCATTGACCTCATCCTCCTCCCAGTCTGTCCAGTACATCCAGCTGTCACACACAGATACAGACAGACACACACAGTACAAGCTGTTATTGCACTAATGTAGAAATATGAGTCATTGCCTCTACTTTAGACGAGATGTGTGGTTCAGCAGCTTTCACTCCCGAATGCTGCTTACATCTTCTATTCAAAATCCGACAGGTACTTTGCTTCTCATTCATCTCTGACATGCTGATATAAAATAGATGTGCTTGCTGCTCCTCCTATCAGCCTCCCCCTGCTTTTATTTCTTATCAATCAATACACATGTGACAGCACTTTTTTCCCTCCATATCTACTCTCAAAATGATCTGTTTCATGTCGATGTGAAATATATCTAGTAGCAGTTATTGGGGGGTCTCATGGGAAAACGAGAAGTTTTCATTCTGAATGTTTTCGTGGTTCACATGAAAACAACTTTTACTTAGTAGTACACCAAAACAAGCTAAAATTACTTTTTTATTGAGTATTCAAACTATCAATTTGCTATCTACTGCAATAAACTGAACATTACTAAAGTGTAACTGTAGACCATGGCATTATCTGATTAAAACGTCTTCACTTAAAAAACGTTTTTAACTACTAGTTTGGTCACTTTTGATTTGTGATTTGCTGAAAGGGTAATGGCTTGTATTTATATAGTGCCCCCCCTGGCACTTAACAACACAGTCATTCACCTATGCACACAAACAATCAAACACTGGTGGTGATGAGCTATAATGTAGACACAGCCCTGGGGCTCACTGACAGAGGTAAGGCTGCCAAGCTCTGGTGCCACCGGCCCCTATGACCACCACCAACAAGCGAAGATGGTAAAGCCCCGACAGTCGGGCTTGAACCTGCAACCCTCTGGTTACGGGGTGGGCACTTAACTCCTCTGCCACCATGGCCCTTACTGAGGAAGCCCTAGTCCTAAAGGATGTATCCCACCACAGTGGCATCAAGCAATAAAGTAATAAATTGCTATATTATATAATAATAAAAATACATTTTATTTCAACAGCGCCTTTCTAAACACTCAAGGGCACTTTACAGACAGAGACAAAATACAAACAAAAGATAGAACAGCATAAAACAAACAGACAGATTGGAGCAAAGAGAGTAACTATTGGAATGCTAGACAGAACACGTGGGTGTTGAGTCTGGTTTTAAAGAGAGTGAGGGAATCAGTGTTATGGAGGTCAGGAGGGAGTGAGTTCCAGAGCTGGGGAGCAGAGCGACTGAAGGCCCTGCTCCCCATAGTGACCAGATGGAAAGGTGGGACAGAGAGGTGGATGGAGGAGGAGGACCTGAGGGAACGGGTGGATGTTGAAGGATGAAGGAGGTCTCAGAGGTACGGGGGCGCTAGGTTATGGATGGCTTTGAATGTATTTAGCAGAATTTTGAATTGGATTCTGGAAGTGACTCGGAGCCAGTGGAGCTGCTGAAGAACAGGGGTGATGTGATGGAAGGAGGGAGTTCTGGAAATGATGCGGGCTGCTGAGTTCCGGAGAAGTTGGGGTTTACAGAGGGATTTGTGAGGAAGACTGAAGAGAAGACAGTTGCAGTAGTCAATGCGGGAAGTGATTAGGCTGTGGACAAGGATGACGACTGAGAGTAGAGAGGTAGGGGCATAGGCAGTTAATGTTACGTAGATGGAAGTAGGCAGACTGGGTAATATTGGGATCCTGTTTCCCCAGCGGGAGCAGCCCTGTATGGCGCTCAGCCAACTGTAGCCACAGGTGGGAGGGAGATCTTGGGAGGAGCGCAGAGCACATTGATTCCTGCAGGCTGATGACCTTGCTAGGCAGAAGTCCACAATCCGATCATTCAAGTCCTCCAGTGAAGCCAATTTAGGTTTTAAACATCTCCACACCGTCCGGTGACCCTCTCTGAGATGACATCCACTTTGCGCACTAATACCGGTAACACAGCTAGAACATTGTCCAGCTTACAGTTCCCCTCGAGTAACGTCCCAGTCTGTGAGGCATCCGCCCGGGCGGTGCTTTCCGTGGGTGCGGGTCGCCCTCCAATCGCTCCCGTCTTCCCAAATTTCCAGAAAACCAGATATCCTCCCACTCCAATCAGAAGAAATCCAGTGATCATCAGGCCAAATATCCACACATCTTCGACATCCTCAATGGACAACTGACAGAGGACAACTGTCCCGCTGCGTGTGTCCCTTGAGGGCAAGTGGGAGCCCCCTCTTCCGTTCTCATCGTAGAAAAAATCTTATCAATCGCATTGAATGACTAGTTAATTAAGTCTATTTCCAAAAAAAGAGGGATTTTCAGAAGAAATGCAGAGAAGCGCTCTGTAGGCAGACAGGACAAAGAGCCTTGGGAAAAAAAGATAAGGGAGCAAAAGCAGAAGCGTCTGTACTCTGCGAGTGCCGGAAGATATAATAATAGATGACAGGGTGTCTGGGTTAATGTTTTTGATATTGCGGAATGAGATGTGACGGATAGGCTTAGTTCTTAAAGAGCAGAGGGGGATGTTGAATGACAGAAAAAAGTGATCAGCTATATGGACATCATTAGCAGAACAGTTAGATGGGGTTAAACCAGAGCAGCAGATTAAATCAAGAGAGTGACCTTTAATGTGCGTGGGAAAATTAGAATATGTTTGAAAATCGAAGCTGTTGAGGCAGGAGGAGAAGTCTCTGGTGAGGGGGAGGTTCAAGTTGTCCATATGAATATTTATATCACCAAGCAGAATGACATTGGGGGAAAGGGTAGTGAGCTGGGTGAGTAATGAGAAGTCATTTAAAAAGTCACTATTGGGCTTGGGTGGGCGGTAGATCGAGGCAATAACTGTAGGAGTGGGACCGGGTATTTGAAAAACAGAAGATTCCATGGAGCTGAAGACAGGAGTGGGGACAGGCAGCACCTTCCACTTCTCGCGATAGAGCAGCGCGAGACCGCCCCCACGACCGGAGCCACGTGGATAGGATAGGTAAACAAAGCCGGGGGGAGTGGAAGTGTTAAGTTGGGAAAAGTCGTTAAGTTGCTGCCAGGTCTCCGTGAGCCCGATGAAGTCCAGTTTATGGTCAGTGATGAGGTCCTGAATGAGGTGACCCTTGTTTGTGAGAGAGCGGACATTCAGGAGGCCGAAGTTGACGGTGTTGTTGTGGTTGGAGGTTGCCGTCTTCGCCAGGCTGGCTAGCGAGCGAAGGTCCGCAGTCCGGCCAGTGTTGAGGCGAGGACGACGAGTTGTGGACCAAAATGAGGTGATTGAGTGAGAGTTATCCAGCTGGAAGTTACAGCGAGACCCACGATGGATGTATCTCCGGCGGGGAGGAAGGACGATCTCTGGGTGGAGCTGTAATGCTACCGGCGGAGGCACAGAGAGATGTCCGTGTAGCAGGAGGAGATCAGCCGCCGTGTACTGGCACAGAGCTGCCCCAGGTTGGAGGAGAAGGGACAGGGCAGACCAGAGGAGGGTCAACCAGATAAATAACTTGCAGGCCCACATGATGAACAGCGGTGGGCAGCTAGCCGATAGCAGCGGGTCAACAGCCGGGAGGAGTGAGAGGTAGGCTTAGTCCGCTTGTACACCCAAACAACAAACTGACAACTAAACAGGATCCAAGGGAGGCAGAAAAAATATAGCACCCACTTAGGAAAACTACAATCTAGTGCTCCATGAAAATGTAAAACAAGATAAAATCACATTAAAATCACCAGTGAGCAGCGGCTGCAAAAACGCGCCAGCGTCCACTCCAGGTGTAGCTCATTACAACTACAGAAGGTATGGTGCCACTAGAACCTAACAAACTTCAAAACTAGTCTTGTATTTGGTCTTTAATTTGTTCATTTACATGCAGAAAAATAAATTCAAAATCAGCTAAATTACACTTTTTTTAATTTATACTAATATTTTATCCTTACTCCGGCTCTCCCATGGATGGACAAGCATTGCGTAACATTCCTAAAGCGTAACACGTAGCTAAAACAGACATGGACAATATTGTTGGTACGCTTGAGTCAATGAAAGAAAAACCCACAATGGTCACAGAATTAACTTCCATCCATCCATTTTCAGTCACTTATCAGGAGTCGGGTCGCGGGGGCAGCAGCCTGAGCCAAGAGGCCCAGACTTCCCTCTCCCCAGCCACTTGGGCCAGCTCCCTGGGTACCCCAGAGACAAAGGCCCTCCAGTGTGTCCTGTGTCTTCCCTTGAGTCTCCTCCCAGTTGAACGTGCTCGGAAAACCTCACCAGGGAGGAGTCCTGGAGGGATCCTGCCCAGATGCTCGAGTCACCTCAAATGGCCCTTCTCAAAATGGAGGAGCAGCCGGTCTACTTCAAGCCCCTCCCGGATGACCGAGCTTCAAGCCTAACTCTAAGGGAGAGCCCAGCTAGTCTGAGGAGAATGAACTTGAATCTGACAAAACAATAATGAATAAAATTCTATTAAATTTAATCAATGAAAATCAGGCATTGGTTTTCAATCATGCTTGAACAGAATTTTTAATAAAAGTAAACAAGCCTGGACAAAAATGATGGTACCCCTAGAAAAGACTGATCATAATGTGCCCAAAGGGACATGTTAATTCAAGGTGTGTCCTCTAATTATCATCACAGGTGTGTAATCAGTCAGTGGGCCTATATATAGGGCCCCAGGTAGTCACTCAACATGGACCAGAGGAAGTAAAGGAAAGAATTGTCTCTGGAGATTAAAAAGGCAATTTTAAACAAGCATGTTAAAGGTAAAGGCTATAAGACCATCTCCAAGCAGCTAGATGTTCCTGTGACTACAGTTGCACATTTATTCAGGAATTTCAGATCCATGGGAATGTAGCCCACTTCCCTGGACATGGCCACAGGAAAAAAAATAGAGACCATTAGTCCAAATGGTAACAAAAATTTCTAAAGAGGAACTTCAAACTCAAGGAACATCAGTGTCAGATCGCACCAGATCGTCGTTGTTTGAGCCAAACACTACATGGGAGACGGCCAAGGAAGACACCATGAATTTTAAAAAAAAGCATGAAAAAGCCAGACTGGAATATGCCAAACTACATGTTCA